GTTTGAATGTTCTGGAAATAATTTTTTTCATAAGATAAAGTTGCGAAAAGATAGACATGCCTCGTACGCCTATAACAAGTGACTAATACGTTCTTTGGGGCGGTGGCTAACTATTATTATTAATAAAGTAAAAGTCTTTCTTCTGATTGCTTGTGGCTGACAAAAGGCTGACAAATCTATATGCAATCGCAGAAAGATTATAATTAATATCGTCTTCTATTCGTCTTCGTGAAAAGTATTACATGTTCGCCTCGCCTCGTTGAGATCTCTATCCTTACATACGGAGCGTGCGTTCATAGGTGCGTGTAATGATCAAGATGATATGATGTGTCGGCATATAGATTCGGACAGCGGCTTGGGCAGATCGACGCCACCGAGACGTGCCGCCAGTCCGGGTATAGGTAGCATGAGGCATTTGACGTCACCCTCTGGCCCCGGCTCGCTACCACCCGCCCTGATGACATCGAAGAAAAGGATCTACGACGATGGCAGTAGCGATATTAGCAGCACGCCCAGTTCTATGATGGATTACAACGGTAAATTAATGAATATATTGTTTTAGACTGTCGCTCAGCACATTCGCATTATTTTGACAATTTTGAGTTAAGTTACTAAGTCATATATTTATATAAGAGCTAAAGAATTAACTGATCAATCTCACAATAGGCCCGAGATTGTATAAACTGCCGATAGCCAAGTCAAATCGCAACATAATGCTGAATGCCGTGGAATACTGCGTCTTCCCTGGTACGGTGAACAGGGAAGCTAAATCGAGAGTCCTGGAGGAGATCAGCCGATCCGAGAGCAAACACTTTCTCATTCTGTTTCGGGATGCCGGCTGCCAATTCCGCGCTCTCTACTCATACTGTCCCGAACGGGAAGAAATAGCCAAGCTGTACGGTACTGGGCCCAAACAAGTCATCGATAATATGTTCGACAAGTTTTTCAAGTAAGCTTGACACAACACTTCTTGATAATTTAAAAAAATTTCTGTTGATTAATTTTTTTTTTTTTTGATTCTGCTTTTAACTCTATACATCCTATAAATTCTTCTCGGTGTTATCTTAGTATTGATCTTCTGTTCTTTTCTCTTAGATATAATTCCAGCGGAAAATGTTTTTCGCAAGTTCACACGAAGCATCTGACGGTGACCATAGATGCCTTTACGATACACAACAGCCTCTGGCAAGGGAAAAAGGTGAACTTACCGAACAAGAAGGACATACCACTCGTCATATAGTTTTACGTACACAAGTGGTCACACACTTAACATTACGCTACCGTGCCCTCTGTTGTTCATAGTTACTATTTTAATACAGGCCCATATTAAATTAATGCGAATACATTGCGTTTCTTAGTCAATTTTATAAAGACAATTGATCGGTGCTGACCCCGATAAAGAAATCATCACATCGGTGCGTAATTCGCCCATCTCTCGTGACGATTCGCACGTCGCTTCTAGAAAAGGAAAGGAGGGACGAGGGAGGAGCGTTGTTACTAGGAAAACTGTTGCGTTTTTTTTTGTTTTTTTTCTTTCTTGTGTTTTCTATCTTTCGTTAAGAACGTCAGCATCAATCACTGTGTCATAAAGATTTACCAGTATCTACTTATATATAAGAATGATTTGTGTTGTATACAATATACCCCTTTTAAATACACCCTTCCTCCGATTTTGCGGACTAACTCGACATGTATAACCGTCTTGTAATCGTGTAAATCGCCGTGTTGCGTCTGTGTGGGCATGCGACTGTACTGAATATTTGCGTAAAAGTTTTTTTTTTTAATGATTTTTTCCTAAATTTATTCTGCGAAGCAAAGCGAGAAAAAGAGAAGTCGCCTATTCTTGCGCGCATGTGTGTATGTGTTTGTGTGTGTATGTGCATAATGCGATTTGCGCACAGGTTTTTTTTTTCATTCTTCGTCTAAGCTAGGGATTTAAATTATTGAATGATTATATTGTATTCTCTAGAGCGTTTGAAACTTTTTAAAAAGTATAAGATAAAACTATGCGAATATGAGGGATCATTAATTTTAAGTTCAAATCGCTGACTTCGTTTTTACTTCTCCGCGCTCTCTGTGTCTCAACAACCCACCGCGATGCATTTCTACCAGAAAAATTTCATTTTTTATATTTTTATATGTATAGTATCTTTTTTTTAATCGGGAGATATTGTTTTTTGATACTCGTTTATTACATTTTACCAGTTGAGGATACGCATCGGCAGAATGCTTGTCGCGGCTCTCAAACGAATGGAAGACGATTGAATTAATGATTTCTCATGCTGCGTATTTCTATGCGATTTTCTCGCGACTGTTGACGATTGTAACGCGTAGTGCGATTCTTATGGTGTCCCTTTTCTTTTCTTTTTTGCGAGAGAAAAAACGATTTTGCGATGTGGTGGATACGAACGGATAGCTCATGTAAGTAAATAAGTTTCTTGCTTAATTAGTGAATCTGTTTCCTTGTAAGGATTATGATCTTTGCGACATTATCGTTTCTGCGAGCGACAAACGCTATGCAAGGCATGTATTAGTTTACGCCAAAGCAAATGATGCGTTTCGTCGGAAGATTAGATAGTTATCATTGTATAAAGGATGGATGTTTTTGCATAAGTATATTGTTGCCTCGCGGACGGGCTGCGGGGAAAGAAAACGTTTGCTTTCCCTAATTGCGCTTCGATCGTGTTCTTTATCGTCTTTGTAAGAGGAAGGTGGAAGATGGCTCGCTGTGTTAGAACTACGAATTTTATCGATAGAACTGTACTTTTTCAAATTAATGGAACCTCATGATCCAGCAAAAGTTGATTATCTCGAGAGTCAATATTCCACTTTTTTCGGAAGTATAAAAAGGAAACATTACAAAACCTTATGTTATGAACATTGTAATATTGGACTAAGTGCGTAAAGACATTTAACGAATTGACAGCCTCAAACCTGTATTGAATTTTCTCATGGTTATCCCGCCATCTCTCAGCGAAACTTCAGTCAGTCCGAACGAACAGATTTGTGTGTATGTGGATGATGTTAATTTATCGGAAGAACTATACTATATTTATTGTGCCATATAAATTCGACGTTCGCCTTTCGCGTGGGACTGGCATCGGCTTCCTATTCTCGCTGAACGGATCTTTTGATCGGATATCTATATTTCTTTCAACGTCGTTTTCGACGTTGTTGTAAAAACATGAGAGGAGAGAGGGGACTAGGGATAGGTAGACTTAAAGTAGACATTTTATACGACAATATTGGGGGTCTATCTCGTTTTTGTACGATTATTTTCTCTCCGGATTTTCGTCCATCATGGACGGGATCTATCCAAATATTTGTTCTCTGATCATTTTGTACGATAAGTCTTCGGCTCGGTCGAAAAGACGTATCCGAGTATAGGTAGACCCTCCATATTCCGCGACGGCGTAACAAAACGTACACAGGATTATTAAGGACACAAATACGCGACATATCGAATTTCGATGTTGAAAAGTATGTATTTTCAATTCGTATGGGATGTCAGTCAATCTGGCTTTATTCGTCCCACCTTTTAATTACGTGTAACACGAGGGACTTATGAGATTAAACTCCGTCGAGATTACAGTAACCGAGAGAGAAGTTCACTGCTCTTATATTCCTGTCTATTGTAAATCTACCCGAATATTATGAAGCGAGAGGAAGAGAGAATTATCAGATAGAGAATCTTAGATTCAGAAACAGTCCGACCTGACAATATCGAACGTGAGGTACGCGCCATAAAAGAAGAAAAAGAATAAGATCTTTTTGAGATGGAGTGTAAATTGCGGTAAGTCCATGGTGATGTTTGAGGAGAGAGTGAAAATAGAGAGAAAGGGATAGATATGATTGCGATAAACAAAAATATATATATATATATAGTCACTAATCTTTAAGAGCCAACGAGAATAATGGCTTATGGAGATGGGATTGATTACAAAGTTACGACGTTACGAGAGATTTCTCGATGATGATCGCTCTTTTATGCTTGATATTTATATTTTTCGAAAAATAGATATTATTAGTGAGCTGATGGGGAAAAAAACGTGACGCTAGAGACAAATGGAATAACTGAACGAAGACGAAAAAGGGGATGAACGATGGACGAAGGGAAGACAAGAAGACAGAAAGAGACACAATTGCGAAAATTGCGGCACGACGGAAATTTGTACGCCGCGGTTTAATCGCGCTTACTAATAATAATAAACAATTATCGTTACGTAAATATATATAATTGCCGATTTTTATTGTCGCAGAAATTTCAACACGTCAAGGCGAATCAGTTCTCTATATCCGCGCCGCACGCGCGTGTCTGTAAATATATTATGTTTTTATATACATATAAAAAACGAAACGTATACCTACCTACTCGACGATATGTATATTTATTCAGTCATCATGTAAGATTTGGGTCATAATTTACTGTTAGCATCTCTTCGCAGCGAATGTCATCAATAAAATTTAATAACCCACTTGTGTGTATGTGCATGTGTCATGTAATAGACTTTGACTCTTCTGCGAAGGAGGACAAAGCTGATCTTAATCATTAATTCAAATTTAAATTGCATGTTTTGACTTTCTTTTGTTTTGGCGAAAACTTGTCAAGTTTTAATACATATCTGTAAAAATGCAATTTTATTTAAATTCCCATTAAAACGAAAATCACTCTTGAATAACTAGAAATCATAAGGTTTTATCGCCTTTTTCTCTCTATTTAAATCATAATTTTTTAATTTTTGGTGTTTAATTTTAAATTTAATCTTTGTTTTGAAAGAAAGATGAAATTGTCCCAAGGTTTCCTATAAAGCTGCGTTGATGACTTCCAAAAAGTCTGTAAAGATTTTAGAACAAAAGTGTGGATACGTCAAAATGACAGTTGTAGTTCTCTTGTTATGTGTGTATATATTTTGCATATGTATAATATATTACAGTTCAACGAGAGAATGTGTGGGTGTATCGAGAGAGAGAATATTATTAAATATTAAAAATATTCTTCGAAGATTATCTCCCGCTTTATGTGCATGATTAAAGGACACTTCTCTTTTTACAGGGCACTTGTACGATTCTCTTCTTCGAAATTTTTAGATCTAAGATCGATTTCCCACAATGTACATATCGAGCTCCATAGAAGAGTCTTACCATTTGCTATAAAAGTATAAAACGTATAATTCGCGTTTTACTCTATCGTCGACGCGACGATCACGAGATCACGAGATTGGATCTACGTTAACAATAATAAATAATGGCTTTTAAATACTGATGTACACAAATTATTTGCGACGAGTAATTAAACTATATGGCAGTGGCTTTTTTCTCGCTATTTGCGCATAAATATCTATGCATTTCGCACGCGTACATACGACGAAATTGCTCATTCGTGCCATCATTTACATCTGTCACGAGACCGACGCGCACGGTCTCTTTTTCTCTCTTTTTTTCTATCCTTTAAGTTACGATCTTTAGCCTAACGAAACGATTTAGCATCTTTTGGCTTTGTTAAAGTCTTACGTCTTAAAGAAATCGTCGTCTGCGAATATATGGCACGTTAATCCCGGTACGGTCGCGAATTCCTCGAGCAGTCTTTGGAATTATAAAAAAAAAGCTGATCGTCGAGGCAATTGTCTCTTTTCGCGTTTCGCTATCATTGAACCGGGCAAGAGCTCAGATGAATGTTGTGCAACTCGGCCATGTCCGTCCAGTCTCGTCTCTCCCCTCCTATCATCACATTCCTGATGCACCCATTGAAGTGATCCCGCGTTATCAACGAGCCTTTCTGAGCGGATGCTGGAAGCAACGAATCCATATTCGATTATCATACAGGTTGGATAGGTACATATTAAATATGTGATTGAACGCCATACGCAATCGATATTTATTTACCTGGTATACCGCCTATATATAATGGGCCGGAGGCGGTGGAGCTCATGAAATGATAATTGACGTTTGTGGGCAGACCATATTTCTGATCCAGCTCGTCCACCTTGAGCGCTAGCTCCTCGTCGTTGTACACGGCCTGGATTCTGTGCCATCGATTGTCGCAAATGGCGTACGGGCTTGTGAATCGTTGCTCTACGTACAATGGATTGTGATCGCCTAGATCGCCCGACATGATCACCCGGCCGTTGTTGAGCTCCAGCGACAAGGAGGGCGAACCACCGGGCGCGCTAATCGACAGCAATACCCCGGACAGTTCCGACGTTCTGAATTCCAGTTGGAGCTCAAGCACGGCGCCAAGCTCAAAGTTATTCTCTGAAAGAACGTGCAATTAGCTTCGCGAACATCCGACAACAGAATTCGCGTTTTTCAATGTTTCTTGATATAGGAATGCGATCTTATTTTATATCTTCACATGCGTGAATTGTTAATTCACACGGCATTATATTCAACTTCTTATGTAGCAATTAAGGTGTCATATTCTAAAGATTAAATTTAAGATATTAGAAATATATAAATAAATA